TTCTCTCCACTTCCACAGAGGAGCCTGCAGAGACTCCCAACTCAGTTTCTGCCAGTTAAAAAACACCCAGTATCTGTGGCTAAGTCTTCCTCAAGCACAAGAGTGAGCAGCTGCTATTGCAATGGTTTCTTTTGGTTGTCTGGAGTTTCAGCACTCAGAAGGACAGTGGCCTTCTGTGATCCCCCACTGACATGTATCACAGCAGAGAAATGGCAAAATACCTTCAAAGATCCACATCCCCAGCAGAGTACATTCCCCTTCTTCCTGCTCAGGGGGTCAAGCTTCATAGCCAGGTGTAGCTCCCCTTTTTGAACTTGTGGCTATAAGGTCAGAAAATCTCATGTAAAGAAGCATAGGAAGAAAAATAGAAACCATACAAAGATAAGGAGAACTACCAAGTGCTTCTTGGTGCCTGAGGCATGAAACTAATACATTGTAAGTCTGAACTGATAAGAGAATTTTTGCATGAATACCAAGAACAAGAGTAGATAGATGGCAGGGAGGGAAATGTATCTCTAGGGTATTCTGACTTTATGGGATTTAAATAGTCCCAAGAATTCTACTCCTTACAACTGCACTGAGAGATTCAATTCTCCATGTTTTTTATAGTTAAAACAGTAACACCAAGCAAAACAAAAGTTTTCATACAACTATTAGTTTGTTTTATAGGAATTAATTCAGTTTCTGCCTGGATCAAGTAATGAAACTGAACAGCAAATTAAAATTTTTCTTTTCAATGCTAGGCAGAAACAATGAAACCTAAAAAGACCACACTGATTGAGGCAGGTAGGGAATCTCTGGATGCTTTTTCTTAGCCACACAATGTGATGAAAACTTAATTTGTATTAGTTTTGTAACTTAACAGCTTGAAAATATAGTCAATAGGAATGTTATGACTCATGGCAAAGCAAGGTGGACACGACCTTGTCCATGCTGTGTCCATTTAGAGCACTTTCTGTGTTCATTTTTAATGCTTAGCCTTCCTCTATAACTTGCCTTCTTGTGATGTGTAGTAAAATGAATAATATAAAAGACTCTTCTCTGTAGTTCTTCGAAGATGTAAACATTTCCATTATTCTGTGCTGTAGTTAGGTCAATGCTCCAGTATCTACATGATGGAAGAGAGCAGACTGAGCTGTGATGCATCCAGAACTGCCAGGACTCCAGACTATGTGTAGACAGGCTGATATTGCAGGTAGGAGAAGCAAGGTCAGGGTAGTTCAGTGATAGCTCAGTTCTGACCTCAGAATTCTCATCTGACAGACAAAATCTGTATTGGAGATACAAGACTCATCAGATCCATTAGTTGGAGCTCTTGTTGATATTTTAGAAATGGAAGCTGAAATCCACTTTTACTGGTTTAAGGCAGATCCATTTTGGTATTTGCTGTAATGATTTAATTCCAGTCATATGTGGAAGAAGAAGGGGGATGTGCACCCAAGGAGAGAGTGTGTAATCTGGCAGCACTTGATGGTCTACACTGGCCTTGCTAGGTGGGCTTTGGAGAAGTCCTATAAAGTGTTTTTGAAAGAAGAGATGCTCCAGAGCAATCTTCTTAAGGGTGTCTGAAACCAACCCCATTGCTCTGCCCCTTTCTCCACCCACTGCAGCATCAGTCACTAGACCTAGGCTAATACCAAAGTGCATTTTCAGCACAAAGTCAGCTTTGATGTGTGTAACCTGAGTGATCATATGATTAATTTTGTTGTTATATAATTCATGTCTCTCTTTGTAGACAAATGTCTTGCATTTTTAATGGTTATTTGAATGCTGTACATAATTCTATGTCAGAGAAGCAGTTGATCCTGGCCAAGTTCGAATTGAAACTTCCCAGAGGAATAATCCAAATCTGTATTTCCATATATATTAATAAACTATGCAATACTTGCAGCAACTCATATAATACAGTTTTGAAATGAGATGGAACTCATTATCAGGACAATAAGGAGCACAGATGCTTTCCTGTCAGAAATAATGGAGTGATATCTACACAATTACTTCCCTTCACTGTCTCCGTAGTCATTTATGCAGCAAGGTGTGTGTAAATCTTTCTTAGCTGCTTGTGGTGTAGTGGGATGTACACCAGCCCCAGCCAATTCCTGAGTTTGCAAGCAGGAGGAGTATAGAAATAAACTCCTTAATTCTGTCTGGTTTCATGAATCATAGAAGCAACCAGGTTGGAAGAGACCTCAAAGATCAGTAACAGCAGAGATGTAAGATCAGTAGCACTGTGCATTGCACAAGTCCAAATGGAGTTTCAGCATGCTGCTGCCCGAGGGTTGGGAATGCCACGTTTGAAATCTGCTGTCCTGTTTTTGGACTTGTGCTCTGGGTATGAGTCCAGTGTGATTCCTTTCTCTTTGCACATCAGAGCATTTTGTGCTGTATTACTGAGACATGAACTTGGCACTCCACCCAATGTTGCACCGGTATGTACTGGTTGGGCTAGGAAACTCCTGCTGACCAACACTCTGGAATCTCTACCAGTGTCAGTAACAGGTCTAAGCCTTTCATGATCCTGGTCAATGAGTAGGGTACAGGACCAAGAATTAGAGATTAGTCGTCTTCAGCTTGGTGTTTATAGTGCTTAACAACCAGCTGAAGGTTGGCTCCTATGCTCAAAGACAAATGGACTCTCTTTCAAATGTGGCTGAAAAGTGGGAAATGGTGTCCTGCTGTTTTTGTGTAGTAGCTGAGCAGAGGATGTAGAAAGGCAAGACCAGATTTACTTCAGCCATGAAGCAGAACAGCAAGTTCTGTTCTCATCTGTACCTGCGACCTCTTTGACCTGGCTATAGGGTATTATTATGGGGGAAGTGTAGGGAGCATAGGAAGCAGGTGTGTGGTTGAAAAGAATTCAGTAAAGAATGAAAAAATTAAGGGAAGGAAAAGAATGGATGTGATTTAATTGTTTAATAGGATAGTGCATTTAGATACCAGATTGACATTTTCGAAGTTTTTATATCTGGAATTCAATATGCAGCATTTTGGCAAAAATCCTCCATGCTTAATATAAATGCAGTTCTGTCTATTCTTAGGAAAAGGGTGAAACCTGTCACCTCAGAGGAATTTCTGCAAGTCCCTCCAGAACAGAATGTGGCTTGTAGTGTGTGTTTGAAACACCTTCATGCAGCAGTAAAGTAAATGCACTAATTCTGTAGTGTAACCTGTTAAGAATTGTAATGTTGGAGACATCACAAACTGATATTTTGTTTGCTAAGTGTGATTTATCCAATGGACTTAAGGAAGGAAACAGACTCCCCACCTGCATTATTCAGCATGTTTGGAGAGCAATCTTCTTTAAATAATGTGCCAGGCACTTTCTGTAGCCCAGTGTCAGAGGATTATATTATTTTCAGAACAATTTATGAAAGATTCTTAGAGGCTTAGTTAATCATTTAAATTAGCTACAGTTTTTAAATAAATATTCAAATTGATGAGCTCTACCTTTTGATATTTCTGGCTTCAAATCTCTCTGGAATTGATGCCAGTTAGGGTTTGGGAATGACTTGGTTATGAACATGGATTGGTGTGTGCATATGTGTGGCATGTACATGTGTACACATGTGGGTAGGTATCAGTGCCCCTGGAGAGTGGCACATGTTCAGTTAGACTGTTCAGTTGTCAACCAGTTTGGAAAGTAGACATCTCCACTTGGAGAGGAAATTGAATAAAAAATGCAAGGACAGTAGTAAGCAAACAAAGGTTCTGCTTTATCATGCACAAAGCTGTGCATTGCTCAGTGGCAATCTGATGCTTTTAGGACAATTAGATGCAGCTTGTGTGTTACCTGCAATGAAGATGGAGACAGCATCAGCAAATGAAATGACCTTGCATACTCTTCACACTGTTGAGAAATGTTCTTGTCTTTTAAAAAAGGAAAGGTGTTCCAGCACGAAATAAACTGCACTAGCTCAAGGCAACATCGAGTAAGAAACTTTCAGAGGAGCACACTGACCCTGCTTAGAGCTTCACTCTGTGTGAAGAGGAAACAGGAGCTAATTAGGGCTTTCTGCAACTGCACTGTTCTTATACTGATGTTCCTATGTGCCCACAGTAGTACTATTTCAAACCTCCTTGCAAACAGGCCCGTGTTGACCTGTGTGTGTTGCTGAGTTTCTTTTCATAGTCACTGAATAGCCTTAATTGAAATGTGCTGTAGTTTTATACTGTAAGAACCACTAAGAGCTGTGCTTCAGAACTGAGAAACATGCATGAGTATAGCAGGAATAATAACCAGGTTCTCAGTCCTGCCACCCACAGTACTTGGTACAACAGCACTTGTTTCAACTGAACTTTCTTTCTTCCATACCTATGCTTCTTCTGAATGTTTGGAGGTTATTTTCTTCCTGGTATCCCACAGTCCATGGCCTTTTCATGTCCTATGCTTGTAACTTACTAGTCTGAAGCTGCTTCTGTTGCAGATTTATGTGGATTTGATGAGATGTTAATATTCAGTTTCCCATATCCAAGGAATTTTAGAGCATTTCTTTCTCTAGCATTCTTTAATCTCAAGGGAAAATGATTGATTGGATCCCAAGAGCCTTATTTCCCAAGCTACATGAGTATCTGTAGTCAAAGAGGAGCGTCAGAGAGTGTGGATCAATACATGATGTTGTATTTCTCCAGCAGGATTCTGTGCCCTACTTGCAGTCTCTTGTCTTCCTGAAAACTCAGATCTGACTTCCAATGCTTGAACTTTGTTCTGTAGACAATTTCTAGTCACAATGCTATGAAACCTGATAAAAGCTTTTCTCAATTTCTTCCTGTAAAATTTTGGGTGAGTGCATGTGAGATGCAGTGTATCTGCACCTCAGTTGTTGGCAGCTTGCGTTGAAAAACAGACTTTTCTAGCAGTCATCTCATTTTAAGAACAGAGCACTGCTTGTTTTCAAATTTAAAAGGATGACCTGCTTATCACAGGTAGAACTGAGACCCTGGTTCCAGGTACAGTGCAGGCAAAGGTGGATCATTTACTTATTCTTGTATTTCTCTTACAGCATAGGTGGAGAAGTAGCGAGAGGAAATGAAGGAAGCTACGTGGGAAAACATTTCCGCATGGGATTTATGACAATGCCAGCTCCTCAGGACAGACTGCCACATCCTTGCTCCAGTGGCTTTACTGTGAGATCCCAGTCTCTTCATTCTGTTGGAGGAACTGATGATGAAAGTAGCAGTTCTCGTAAGCAGCCACCTCCAAAACCGAAGCGAGACCCCAACACCAAACTCAGCACCTCATCTGAAACAGTCAACACTGGAACAACAAGTAAAAGTGGGAAACTACCGGACAGGACTGAAGGTAAACACTAATTCTTTGGAAAAAAAAACCACGTTTTTGTTGAATGAGTGTTAAGATTATCCAATCTTGCATTTAGGAATTACCTGTATGTTTCCCCACCTGTGGAACAGTGCCAGCACAGGTATAGTAGATCTCTATTGTCTGAATTTTGCACCAGTGGATAGTTTTCCCTTGGATATTTCTCACAGAACTCTACCACTTACATGGGCTGTTTATATACCAGGGAATGAGTTGAATTTATTAAAAATTAAGGGTGAAAGAGATTGCTATCAGTTGGCATGTAGGAAGGACAATGTTATCTGCACACCAGTCAAGGACCACTGACCATATCACTAGCACTGTACAAACCACAGCTCTGGAAAGGGTCCTCCCCACCAAAGGAGTGAGTAGAAATTATTAAAAAGAACAGTGCATGGCCCTGAAACTCCACAGCAAGGAAATACCATCTAACAGCAAAAATTGTCCCCAGGATGATAAATTGTATTGTCTAAAGTTTCTGTTTGCTTCTGAGTCTACATTTTCTCTGCCCATTCCTCCCAGTTACATTTCAGCCAGTACAGCATTCAGAAGAAAATTACCAAATGGGTTGAATAAGGTTATTGCTTCCTTAGTCTGAACTATTAAAGATGAGCTAACGCTACAGGGATCTTCTCCTTTCTTTCTTCCATGCTGGGAACGTGTTCTGTGCAGCAGTAGGACCAGCTGTACCCCCTGCTAGGAGAGATCAGGATGACTCTGCTTCACAGTGTGAACTGTAAGAAGAAACCCTTAGGGACAAATGGTTCTTATCAGTGCTGGACCTTCCCACTGCCATGTTACACATCAACTTTGACATCCCGTGCAGTAGATCATGCTCTTAGTGCATATCCCTTTTGCTTGTTGTGGCCAGAAATACTTGTTAGTTACATTCATGCTATGACCCCTTTTAAGTAAATCTGATTTTAAAAACTCATCACTGATAACAAAGATGCAAATGTACAATTCAACTGGTGGCACATATGTCTATGATTGTGAAGCTGAACACAAAAGCTGAACAAAACTGTAGATTTATTTATGCTGTTGGTAGTATATTTTGCATATGATATGGTTGGTATTTCTTTTGCATATGACATTTACCATTATTTCCATGGCTTGTTCTCTGCAGTGACACATACAAGCATTAAGTAGCTGTCCTCAATAAAAAAGAAAAGCAGTTTGCCACAATTTTACTGGACCAAATCCTACACAGAAACCACTCGGATTTGAGCCACAGACAGATTTAAATTCCCATATTAGAAAGTCTTTCAAGTCTTTAGTACAAAAGGAGAATGCCTGGCACCAGCTTCTTGGTCTCAACCAGAATCACCAAGTCTAGATGAACTTTGTTTTGCAGACAGGGCAGTAAGAAAGGCTTTAATGTTTTCTGACTTGTTTAATGACTATTCCTGCAAGTGTGTGTTGAGCCATACAGTCCATTGTGCTCTTTGGTGTAGCTGACCTTGGCATTATCTAGTACAATTCAGAATGAAGTCTGTTTTATATGCATCTCCCAGGCCTTTCCCTCATTGCCTGAGAAGCAAGAGACTTTGACAGAGTTAAAGCAGCAATAACAATAATGATAGTGATAATAGAAATGCACCCAAATATTTTGCCAACCTTGCAGGAGTTATGGCAGACTCCTTAAGCAGTCTGTGTCCTTGCAAAACCAGATTTTCCTCAGCATTTTTGTCTTTATGGAAGGGTCTGAAAATGTTGTTTCCTTTCCTTCACCTCCTTCTGCCATCTGATATTTGAGTCCAAGGAAGGAATATGTAGTTGTGTCCCTTCTGACAGATTTCGGAGTTTGAAATTGGTTGACATTTCTGTTACCAAAGCCAAGCACCACTTTGCCTCCTTCACTCTGTGCAGTTTGAGCTTGATCTGTCCCATCCCATGATGGTTATGAGTGGCATGTGTGGTACTCTAGTCATGTTCTGTATGACAATGGTACTACTATACCAGAGTGCTAAGTATTGCAGAGTGCCTCAGATTTGCTATTGTAATCAAGAGCTGAATATTCATAGCAAGATCTCTGGAAAGAACTGATGAATGAGTAATACTCCATCACTAGCATAAAAGATAATACCTAAATGTTACCTTTTAGTGTGACTAAATGCCTTCAAGCAACACTGAGACTCTCTGTAATGCTTAATATATGACTTGTGTTGTATTCATTCTGCATTCATCTTTGTATGTAGAGCAGCAATGAACACTTTTAGGCTAAAATGAAGAAGTTCCTGGAGATTTTCAATTGACAGAACTCTTTAACCACACTGTTGTTTCAGTGTGTTCAGAATGTCTGCCCTGTTTCTGTGTGTCTGGTTACAAGGGTTTCACCAGAGAGTTTAATACATAGAAAGATCAGACTGTGGGGCTTTTGTGAAGTATGCAGTCAGATTTTAAAGCCTGAGACATACCCAAAGGTGGTTCAACATAGTGTTTGGATGAACAGGCTGGATTTCTAAAATGTTTTGCTGTCACTAGGGGAAGCCTTGTTATCACCTGGGCACTGCAAAGTAACATATTTAGTTTGATGAAAGAATTTTCACAGTGATCTGGCTAGCATAGGAATGTTTCTATAAAAACTGTGGTCATATATTGATAAGGACATCTAAGATGAGCAGAACAAGATGAAAGTCTAAGTTCATTATCTGCAGTATCAATTCGATACAAGTATTAAACAAGCTTTGACACAGAACATGAAATTATTACATTGCTCTAAATTTATTTCCCAGCAAGTTTAGTATCTGCAATTGTGCCTAGCTCAAAGAAACCTGTGAAACTGTGATTCTGCTAGTCTGTTTTATTGTGTGCAAGTAGTTATGTTTTTTCCTATATAGCAGCTCTCATTATATTAGCAAACTTTGAATTTAAGATACTATAAACCTGTATCTTCCCAATTTCTGGTGAGATAGTCCATAGGATACAATAGTCATGTTCTCCTTGGGAGGTCTTTGAAAGCTCAAGTGTTAAACACTTAAACACACAGGTTTAACTTTCAGTCACTGTTGTTCATATTGTACCCAAATATTTGTATATGCATATGCCTCACACATTTGCACATACTTGTGGTATTTGCAGGCTGAATTACTACAGGCTTTTCCAGGAACTATGGAAAACAATGGTGAAAAACCCTATTGTTTTTCCATTAGCTACTGTGGAATCTCTACAAAGGAGTTGTCGCAAAATTGTTCCCAGCTAGATTTTTTTTATGGTAATGCAGAATAATTCAGACTGTAATGTCTATTGTCTGGCCCTGTGGCTACTTTGCAAAGGAATTTGCTACATTTTCTAGACAACCAGGGACAGCCTCACCACTCATTTTTATTGAACATGTTTACTTTTTGCTTTTTCATACTGATCCTGTTTATGCAAACAAAAGCAGTTACTGATAGTATCTTTGATTTTTTTTATGATCATAGTAAAGTTAAAATATTGAATTCATCCCATCATAATAACTTCCATAACATTAGATTGGTTTGAATATGAGTCTGACTACTGCAGAAGGGGCAGAAGAAATTTGGTCATGAGCTTGAAAGACCTTTTCCTCCTGGAGCACAAATAACATCAGTAACACCCACACTGGTTCTGAACAATTTTCCTATAAGAGCTATTGCTTCCATATTTGTGGGAGTGTGAGAATCTTTCAAGTTGCAGTGACACACATTGACTCTGTCTCATTGTGCAGCAGTGTGGTAGCACTTTGGTTTGTGTGTTTCATCCCAGCCTACCTTGGCTGTGCCTGAAAAAGCACTCTCAAACCTGAAGACCTCATTCTCCTTAACATGACTTTACCTTTGTTGCTGTGTTTCCACAATCTGTGTCCCTTCTTGTGCTTTAATATTCTATTTTTTGACTCTTCTGGCTACCTCTCATATGCACCCACTGAACGCCTTCCACCCAAAGCATTTCTCCTCTGTGACAGATTTCTAGAAAGTTGCTTTTAAAAATGTGGGTTGTCTTTTCTCCAGAGTTTTCAAACTCTGATAGGAACAGCAAACAAATGGAGCTGTGCTCCACACATGACACATTGGAAGTGAGAAGTGAACTGAAAAGGGTAATTTAAAATAACATTTCAGCGTGGAAGGCATATCTAATCTTGATCCTGAAAGGATCTTTATTGAGAAAATGCAGGAGTGTAATTAATTGATGTGTTTTCCCTGCCTGATCTAACAGAAAAAGGAAGTAATAAAACAGTATAATTGGCCAGTGTAACCAGCCTCAAGCAGTGGTTTTTGATATGATCACTGCATGTCCACAGGAAAGGTTTGCAGATCCACTGCAGTGCAAACAGAAATGAAGAGGTATAAATGAATTGCATCTTGGAAGTTAAGTTTTTGTTAAAATTCTGTTTTGTGATACGGAGGATTATATTATAAGAGCAATGAGTCTGGTGAAGGGACTGGAGCACAAGTGCCATGAGGAGAGGCTGAGGGAGCTGGGGGTGTTCAGCCTGGAGAAGAGGAGGCTCAGGGGAGACCTTATCACCCTCTGCAACTCCCTGACAGGAGGTTGGAGTCAGGTGGGGGTTGGTCTCTTCTCCCAGGCAACCAGCAGCAGAACAAGAGGGCACAGACTCAAGCTCTGCCAGGGGAGGGTTAGGTTGGATATTAGGAAGAGATTTTTTACAGAGAGAGTGATCAGGCATTGGAATGTGCTGCCCAGGGAGGTGGTGGATTCACCATCCCTGGAGGTTTTGAAGCTGAGACTGGATGTGGCACTTAGTGCCATGGTCTAGTGACCACAGTAGGGTTGGACTCGATGATCTTGGAGGTATTTTCCAACCTGGTTGGAAAAAAAAAATGCACATGATGTGTATATAATATAATTTAATTTAAATATAGCTAATATACACATTGTATATATACAAACTCACTCCATTTGTTTGGTGTTTTCCTTCCAACTGCTCCGTGTGGAAGAAGATATCCTTCTTGCTGCTGCCTTCTAAGCACATGCAGTGGGCTCAGCAATTCCTAGAGATG